GAAGTGGTTTGCCATTGCCTTCTTCTGTGTGTGAATGGAGTAATTGTTGGGATGCCACGGAGAAACCGGGGAAGCCCCCGGAGGAAAACTTCGTGATGCCTACGCCACGGCCTTGCCCAACACAAGTTATAAATTCGGGCACCGCCGGGAATCGAACCCGAGACCTCAGGATTACAAGGCTAGTGTTTTTAATGAAAAGTTAAATATTGAAGATACTGTTGATATTGGTCTTCTGAGTTGTAACGCTGTCTGCACTTGTAGGTGGACACTAACGTTTTAAAGGAACATACCGTCTCCATCTTCAGCCAACAAGTTCTCACGGCGTTACAACCCAGAAGACCAACACACAGCTTCAAGGTTAAGTGGTTTGAACTTTTAGGTTATGATACCGTGTAGTCTTGTATGTAGGTGGTTACCAGCGTTTCGAAAGAATGTGTTACTACCTTCTTCAGGGTATAAACTTAAGATTGCACGTCACTACCACTCAGAAGACCGCAGTACGTCGTATCACCGTGAAACTATCAAAACACAAATAGTGTTTGAATGTAAATATTATGTTTACACATGTGTTATTCTGGAAATTTAAAAAACATTAATGCATCGTGTCCAATTCATTATATATGCGTGGTATGAGAAAGTATATTTTAATGCGTACCGTATTATTATTTATTATTGTTATTTGGCGAGGCTGTTTCTGTGGGAATGGACCGGTAATGGGTCCTTGTCCATCTCTCAAGAGACACGTGGATGATTATGGAGCAATGGCGGAATGATATTGAGGGTTAAAGCCGACGGTTTCTGAACAAATTCTGTACCAGTACCATTTTGTCCATCACAAATCCAAGATGGACCCCAATTAGGTACAAACAAATGCGAGAAAGGATAATTATATAAAACGTTGAAACGATGTAATATTTCATACAATAGTGATGCCATTTTTAACTTTCCATGGTGCGTGTTGTGGTGAAGTACACTCTACCACAGTGGTATTCAAACTTTTTTTGTTCGCGTACCCCCAGATATAATTTCTCTTCAACTTTGTACCCCCAAAGTTGTTGGTGTATAATTCGAGTTATACATAGTACATATTCTACATCTAAAATAAATTAAATAAATTACATTACTGATTATTAAGTGTTTATCATAAAATAATATATATTTTTTTAAATTTCACGTACTCCCTAAGATGTCTTCGCGTACCCCCGGGGGTACGCGTACCCCAGGTTGAATACCACTGCTCTACAGTATTACAGTACAAACCACTTATTCGAATTCCTTAACATTGTTACTTTGTGACGGAAATGCGTATTGTAGCTGACATTGTTTTCAACGTACACGCCTCTTAAAACAACGAACATTTGCATTGTCGTATTCTGATTTCTAGGTGGTTATCGAAGTTTTAAAATTTTTCAACAACAGTTAACAAAGAACTGCAGAATAGAAGATGACTATCTTCTGGGTTGTTGCACCGCGTAGTCTGGTAGAAGTTTATCGGCTTTCAGAGGTCCTTGCTGCCTCCATCATCAGGGCAATCTTACTCATTACCCTGATAATGAAGGCAGCAAAGATATCTGAAACGTAGCAAATGATTGGAACATAAAAATGTATCGGAGTATTACAAAACTGATAGTCGCTTAGCTAATCTAGAAATCCGTCGCCTTTTCATGAATTATGAACGTACATCACAGTGTTCATATTAACCTGATATGAAAACTATTTTGTGCCAGATAAATCCAATCCACCTCACATCTTGTCTTCATAACATCCATTTTATAATTTTTTTATTATTCCATCTACGTTTAGGTCTTCAAAGTAGTCTCTTCCCTTCTGTATTCCGACCATAATTCTATAAGAATTTCTCATTTCTCCACGACTCACAATCTCATTGGAGCAAAGTCCTTTGAGCGTAGTCCTAGAACCTTATAAAAATAAACAAAATTTGCAACGACGAGATTTATCATCTGATATGAATTTGTAAGGAACCTGTTTGTATCGTCATGTGTGAGTCATTTTGTTTTGGTCTGTCGTACAGACAAATATGATAGTAAGTGGCCACCGATTCTTTTAATTCTTTTATGTGATTTCCAGTTAATAATACATAATTAAACCTGTACATTAAAGGACTCCTAGTAGTGAGCTGAATTCCTTCAATCTTAGACCATTAAACTACCACAGTTAAATAAATTACAGGTTATAAATACTTATTATGCATTAGAATTGGAATATTATTATGAAAAGGCAATTAGATCTGGTGTTTTACCTCAGAATCTTCCTTTGCCCAGTTGTGGGTCTTCGTCACCTCCTTTTCGGAGGTTTTCCTAGTCTTTGAAACGTGCATTTATGAGTACTGAGTGACCAGTCCACTGCCTCTGCACAATTTCTACTAAATCCTGATTTGATTGCCAGAGCCATCTAGCAGTGAATCAGGAGAGACTTGGGTGAGAAATGGCCGCTGAATTTTTATTTACGAAACATCTCGTTCATCATTTTTCGTGCCGTAAATCTAAGACATGGGATCGCCGGCTTTGCTTCCCCTCTGAAAGAAGTTGTTGTACTACGGATTTTTATCACCATTAAAAATCCATCGACCTCGGCCGGGTTTGAACCGGCGAACCTTGAGTCAAGTGGCGATCACTCTAACCACTAGTTTTACCTCAATTTACCATATGAATAATCTTACTTCGATATGGGATATAAATTGGTGAGGAATTAAAAAAAAATCACGAAGATTTGTCGTCAGGACAGCTCACACCCAGCTAAAACAGTCCGCTCATTTACATTTATGCAGAATAATTCTGATGAATATTTTAAATATCTAAATGTTGATGCTGAGGCGAGATTTCTTACGTCCTTTAACAAATCGGTCAACAATAATTAGCACAAAAATACGGACTAATAACTTGTAAATTATGAATGAATTATGTAACTGTGCAGTGTATAACGCGGTAATGAATTCTCTTTTATTTTCGTCAGTGTTGCCAAACGTCATCAGATGCAGAGAGAACATAAATTTAGTTCAGACGGTGGCGACTTCAGTGGCTGAAAATGCAAACGAGGCTATGGTGGAGTTTGGTTAAGCCCGTGTTGTCTCGAGTCTGGAGTTAAGCGGTCGGTCTTGTTTTAATGTTTTTGACAAAGGCCTTACTTCAGTCACCACGAAGATGTTTTTACATTTAATATACAGTAGATTCCGGTTAATTGGGCCATCGGTTAATCCGGGGGTAACCATTTATTTGGGATAAATCTTAAAGAACAAACCTTTTTAAATCTTCACGTGAAACTTCGCATAATTGGGACAAAATGTTTTAGTCCCATTGTGTCTTACCTTTTTAAATCTTCACGTGAAACTTCTCATAATTGGGACAAAATGTTTTAGTCCAATTGTGTCTCAATTAACCGGAATCCACTGTACTTAGAAAGATATTGTAAAATTTGAACTTTGGATGCGATTTACAAAGTTAAACCTGGAATAAACTGTATTATTATTCATCGCAAAATAAAGGTTTACTACTGTCAACTTTGATATATTACTCTAGCAAATAAATAAATTACAATCTGGGGGTCTTCTTCTAGAAGTGACCTATTAATTTCAATGTCTGTGTTTTACGTCATCGACAACATCAATCAGTCGTCGGAACATCTGCGATTTGAAACTTTATCTCGCTGTCGTACTAGTCGACACTGGGAATGGTAAGTTTGTCATTTGGAGCTATCTTCTTTAAGGTTTGCACGTGCAGAAATGAATCTGATGTCGATTGTCTGTTGTCATTTTAGTGAATCTTGGGTTTGCTCGCTTTTCTAACCTATGAAACCCAAAGTAGAGTTTACCATACGCTTATTATTTACTATCTCACTGTATTAATGAACTCGCGTCATGTTAAATATGGAAGAAAGGTCATTAACATCGCCTGTGTTTATGTCATCCGTCAGTTAAACCGAATCAAAAGAAATTCAGTTTTAATTTTTTATGTTAACGAACATTAGTGTAGTTTCACAGTAAGTCAAAATATTATTTTCATTCGTGGAAATTAAAGGCTTATAAAAGTGTTCACAAAATTTCGCGTTTCGTGTTTGTTCTGACCGAGATACAGAGGGGCACACACCTCGACATTTATTGACGACTATAGTAATTTATTATTTCCGAAGTAACCGACTTCATGCTCACATAATGAAAGCAAATAGCTTACGCCAATACACACACGTAATTATCAGTCGGATATCTGTAAATAGGTCTTGTGTCATTCTTGCTAAAATTTAAATAAGACGTATTTTAAAGACAGGAAAAGACACATGATAGCAAATAGAAATAAAATCTATTACGAAGTTAGAAAATTTTGCACGTATCGAAACTTCGTGAATGAACACTAGTAACACTGTCTTACAAATTGCGTAAAATAGGCGAATAGGATGACCCCGAGGACCACCGGTATAAAATAAGATCAGTTGTTTCGGTTGCTGTAAAACCGAACGAAAAATTAGGTTAGCTAAGTTAGGTTAGGTTAGCGGTCTGTGTTTTTCACAGTGTCAATTTGTCTGCATGGAGTACACTGAGTGTTTTAACTTTTGTGTCGTGGACCTCTTCACCTGAGCGTGAAGATTCTCATGCTTCTAGTGTACACGTTAAGGACGCGTGAGAAGTACCTTCACTCCCTCACACATGTTCATTGCGTGGTGTTTTGTTAGGCACTGGGTCTTATGATGTGGTCCGAAACAAATCTTATAATCCGTGCATTTTGCAAAAAAATTGCTCATTGCCAAAGTGCTGCCTCATTTTCACTATCCGTGGTAGGCTTTTCGAATGTATGAATTCAGTTTCTAGATCTTCCCTTTAAATAAAAAGCCATTCATATAATTTTAGTTGGCAGCATAGACATTGCCCAGTTCTTCCTATCACGTTCGAGTTTAACAACAGTAAAGTGGATATGACATAAAGCAATCTCGTTTCGTGGGCGGTGAGACAGCCTGTCGGGCGCATGCGCACTGTCTCGCCCACCCAAGTAATCCCTTACATGGCGCAGTGAGCAGCAGTGTGTTGTGGAAAGTAGAGGCTTGTGGTTGTGGCCATTGTTTTAAGCTGCTGTGGATGAAAATGAAGCCGACCAACCTTCCTCGTCTCTGCTGCGCTGTGAACAGATGTTTCTGTGGGACTCAACATACTCTATAATAAATGAAGGCCTGCTTCAGGTAAGCGAGAAATTAATATCTGACGTGACTGAACTGTGGTGTTGGGGTTGTGACTAGCCTTCGGCGATTGTTGTAACACACAGTGAAATGACACACGTGCTTTGTAAATTTCCTTTAATTCGGAAGGTGGATGGACTCTTGTGTCGTTTGCAAGAGAACTACAGTAGAACCAAACAACTATTCATTTCCCCGCAAAACACTAATATGGCGTTAACACGTTGCATTTGTGTGTATTATCTTTGTTTCGTTATAAATGTGTTTGATCGACGCTGGAAATGCGTGGTTTCTTACAAAAAACATAATTAGAATTATACGTTTAAGGTTATTATGCATGAAATGTGTTGATATTATTATTCATGTTACTATAAAATGAAAAGGTACTTGGACTACAAACTACTGAAACATTTACTAATAGAAAATGAAGTAATTAAGACAGCTAGACAAAGAAGAGATTCAGAAAAAGTACCGTGGTAGACCGAGTTCTTTGTTTACTGTTGTTGTGTTGTTTATATAAAAATATTGGCGGAGAATGTAACACGCATTAGCGTAACAAAAGTGATTACATCATTTCTGTTGGAAAACATCAGGACAAGAGACCACTTACATGGGCTTAAATAGGACGATTATTAAATTACGTATTCTAGAAATAATACCAGATTGGATTTGTCTAGGCCGGAAGGGCCCGGGGAAGGGGGGGTGCAATGGCTGAGATATCTTTATCAGTTGAATACCGGTTTTTCAAGGACGCTTTTTTCGAACCGGCATTAATATTATTATTCAATCTATTCACCACTTTCGTACATTGTGTTTACTTCTACGTACCCGAGACAAACCTTGCCCCTGAGTGCAGCAGCTATTTCCGAAATACATTTTGTTTTCAATGTGTGTTACATGTATTATATAGTTTTATTGTGAGGGATGACTACATATTTTACGACAGCGTCTTTCGAATGATGTATGAAGATTCCAAAATGGCAGTTTTCTGAAGTTCCCTGACGTCGTGTTCGCCCGGAATGTTATTATTATTATTATTATTACTACTACTTTTATTATTAATTACGTAAGTGTTTAATACTTTGATCTTAGCCAGGGCTTCGACAGATCCGCTCATACTATTTTATTGGACGAGTTCAATAATCCTGTACCCTCTCCAGTGGTTCAAATTTAACTGTCAGCAAGGTCATTTTTAGTTCGCATCTTAGACTCTTTTCCCTATTTTATGCTCTCTGATGTTCCACAAGGCTCAGCTTTAAACTACATTTGTTCAATATTTTTATTAATGACATTTGTGTTCGATGTTTTTAATCATTCCAAATTTCTTTTATTTGTCCACGATTTGAAAATGTATCGATACTCCTCAGATGATAATAAAATCGATCCGTCTACACAACTATTTTTAGGTTTTTTTTACGTAATAATATCGTAGAATATACATCGTGAACCTGAAATCGACCCTGCTCTGAACGAAACGTGTTATCGGGTGAATAAAACATTTGTGTGGGCGGTCACATTGTTTTATTATTTAGTCAGCTGTTACGTAACAGGACGTCTAAAATCGATAATATCGATGTTGAGTCTTCAGAGGATTGTAAATCTCTACGAGGTGATGTTGGTAGAATAATGTATGGAATTTTCTATACATTTTATTTTATATTTCGTGAAGTTTAAATTTTTTCCTAACTGACAGTATAAACGGTTTTAACGTATTGTTAGTAAACTGTATTTTTATTATTACGTAAATTCTCAGGCACTAAGACCGTAGAGCTTAGTCGCGTTATAATTTATCTTCTTTAGACAGTCTTATTGTGTCTTATAATGTTTAATTGGGGTCGAACCTTATATGCCTCTGTTACATGGCATAATCTTACGTTGGCCGACTCTGATAAAATATACAAAGAAAATTTACCAAGTTGTGTCATTGTCTATTTTCAGTTCGATATTTCACGTAATTATGATCCTGGCATGCAAACAAAGAAGTTGGTCCGGTTAAAGTTTCTAGCCTTTTCCATTCGTAATAAAATAACAGGTTTGTAAAAGTTGAAGCTGTATAATTGGACGCTGGTTTGTGGTGGACATGCACGATGTTTTCAGGTTAGAGAATATACATCTGAACTGGGTGAAGGTGGAGAATTTGGATTCGTGCTGGCTGATCCATCATGATTTCCGAATATATTGTATGGGTACTATCAGTTAAGAGTATTTTTATACAGCCGTCGTGTATTTAATTACATTTACGATGAATTATTATACCTAAGTCATGTATTTCTCGAAAATATATTACTGTACGTAACCTCGCAAGTTTATTCGTACGCCTTGTTGATATTACCAACTGTAGGAAATTAAGAAGTAAGATTTTTAATATTGATTTCATTATGTTAATACTAAATTTCATCCAAATCCGTCCTGCAGTTCTTTGCTTGAGATAGACAAACAGCCGGACAGAGAACACCATATGATAGTCGTGTATGTCCAGTCGATTTATCACAAAAACCACTTGGCAGATTTGGATGAAATTTGGTGTGGATGTTGTGCTGTTCTGCACAACCTCAAAATCATACTTTTTAATGTCCTACGAGCGGTGATGATGAAATTATGGACGAGGAAAGTCGTGAGGTGGACATTGAAGTGCTGCGATCTGGTGGCCAAAGTGGGAACAATAGAACAAAGTGGATTTAATAACTCCAAATCTACGTTGCAAAGAACGCGTGAGGATATAATTTGTTACATGTCAGACTGTATGCTCCATTTGAATAAAAATTTCCTTGGATATTTTCCATCGTCTAGTAAAATAATAAAATAGAAAACGACGTTTCGGAGATGGGGCTCTAGGTACCTGAAGACGGAGATAGAGCCCCATCTCCGAAACGTCGTTTTCTATTTTATTATTTTAGTAGACGATAGAAAATATCCAAGGAAATTTTTATTCAAATAACTCAGTATAGTCACGAACTTTTAAGATTTTATATGTGTGCTCCATATTATTGATGGGATCTTTAGTTTCTAAAAATAATTCTGACACGCAAGTCTTGTCCTAGTGTAGGCAGTGAACAAACAGGACTATAAATTTTATACCTGAAGTCACTGCAAGGAGCAGGGAACAGGGAACCAAATTGGATTCCACTGCACTGATTGCACATTGTTTGTTTATGGAGCGTTAGATCATAGTAAAGGATAACATTAAACCTGAAAAGTGTAAGCTTGTTTAAATTTGGGAGGTTTTCAAATACGTAACATGGTCCATGTGATGTCGAAAGGGAGGATAATGAAGTATAGTTTAAATGGGAATGGGTTGGAGGGAAGCAGTAGTGGCCTATTTTAGAGAACCGTCCAGAATTTTCTTGAGGGACTAAAACACCACGAAAAATTTAAGTGTAGTTAGTCTTTGGGGTCTGGAAGAAAATCCGGCATATCACGAAATCTAAATAGATGTGCTCACAACTTGATGGCTGTGTTCAGTAAACAGTTTAGTGAAGTGAACGGAAATGTTTTGTTTTTAATTATTAATGATAAGTTCATTGTTTCGACGTTTCAGGTGTACAGTCGTGTGAAAAATATTATGTTCGTAGTGTTGTAGAGTTGATGAAAAAATTAAAATTAGTTAATTTTAAAATTATACGAACTCCGATAGGGCCTATAATAGTTATCAACTGCTCGCTTTACTAGTATGTTCTATTGGGTTATGCATACCAGCGATGTGGAGCGGGATTCGAACCCGGGATTCCAGGGTTTGAGGGGTAAAGGGAAACGTGGGTTCTATAATTGTCATTTAAAATATTCAGGTATAGGAAATTAGAAATCTGCTTGTAGTTAATACAGTCGGTTTACAGTAATTACTGTAGTGAAACAGGTGTTGGAAATTAAGCCTATTGAATATGGACAGATAAATAGATACGAATTACGTTTATTTATCGACTTACAACTTGAATAACATCATCTTTTATGGAACAAGAAATTTCGTTTCCGTGGTCACGGTGGTCTAGCGGTTAGAACGCTGGCCTTGTTATCCTGGGGTCTCGGGTTCGATTCCCGGCTGTGCCCGAATTTATAACTTGTGTTGGGCAAGGCCGTGGTCTAGGCAACACGGAGTTTTCCTCCGGGGGCTTCCCCGGTTTCTCCGTGGCATCCCA